AGGAAGTGTGTGGACAGGGACGTCTGGGCGTCTCTGCTCAGACTGTTGCCCGGCAACCCGACAACAGATAGAGCCGAAAATGAATGGATGGGTGTAGAATACAGATGACAGGTTTTGTTTTTCTCTCCCAGCGGTCACTTTCTTACAAATATTCATAATAGTTTTAAACCATTGAAGTTGCTTTGTGTTGAAATGTATGAAAAGAGTGAAAACGTTTGTTTTCCCCATTTGTAACATGGAGAAAAAAGCAATTTCGACAATCTAAAGAAATGTCATGATTTTGAAACTAAACTTACCAACATTATAAAATTATATTGGAAAAAAGACCATTTCATGCAATTTTTGAAACATATATATTTGATTAGCAGGTGATCTAAGTGTAAGCATCTTCCCTTTAAATCTGTTGAGAATCCCGTTATAAGAAGTGACTGTATAATGCTGCAACCCTTAATGCCCCATATTTAAAAGCCATTTTGAGCAAAATGGCATTTCACATTATTGCTCCATTGTACCAAACACAATGCACAATACAGTGCGCGACACAATGTTAATTAAACATCTTCTCCCATTCAGACGCTTTGCACATGCAGCTACAACTAAAACGAAATACCTTCCCTTTAACATTTTCTAATATAAGCTAATGACAAAGTGTAACAATTCCCGGCTATGAATCTTGTAAAGACTATTGTATTTTTGTCTATGTTGCACGTGTTGCCTTGACAGTTTTTTATTATTTTTTTATTTCCTTATGATTATCACTGTTTTCTGTTGTAACTTGTACTGGCAGATCTCTCTTTGTTGCTTATTGCGTATTGCACAGAGTTTTGTAATTGCACACAAATGGGGTTAAATCAGCTTTTACCACCGGGCGGCACGGTGGCTGAGTGGATAGCACTCTCGCCTCTCAGCAAGAAGGTCCTGGGTTCGAATCCCGGTCGGACCAGGGCCTTTCTGAGTGGAGTTTGCATGTTCTCCCCGTGTCTGCGTAGGTTTCCTCCGGGTACTCCGGTTTCCCCTACCACTAAAAATATGTCCAATAGTTCTGGCATGCGCCTCCTGTACTGGCGACCCCGCTCCCATCTCTGTGTGGAGTGAGAGACAAATGCCCAAAAATTGACAATTGTAAACCGCTTTGAGACTCAGATCTGCAGTGAAAAGGCGGTATATAAATACAAACTTACTTACTTACTTACTACTTTTTAGTGTAACAATTCTCTACACCAGGGGTTTCCAACCAGTAGCTCGCCTTCGCCTTTCAGGTAGCTCCCCAAAGGATTTAAGCATTTAAAGGTATATAGGAGGATTTTCTACTTCCGGGTGGATCATCGAGACTATTGGTCCTTCCATGTGGCGGTTCTTTCCAAAAAATTTGGGAAAATCCTCCTCTATACCTTTGACACATGATCCTGAATGATTCACTTTGTATGTTTTAACTGCAATGAATTACACAACAACTTATTGTAGATTATTTGTATTAGACTGATACAGGAGTAGCGCTCTGCCATTTCTGTTTTTAATAAAAGAATCTAAAAAGGTTTGAAACCCCAGTGATACAAGTTGTTTGGACCAAATTGCATCTTCTGAGATCCAGGTGACCAATGTGTAAATCAATCAAATTAGCATTCAGCTCTCAGTCCCATGCTATTTAATTTGTCATGCTAAAAACTGAATCTATCGTCAACATTTCGGATGGATCAATTCAACATGTGTGGAGCTGTAACAAAAACATACATAATAATTTAAAAGAATGAGACAAATTTCCAGGATTCAATTTCCAGAGCTAAATTATGTCTTGGAGGACTTTGTGAGGACGTGCTATTGACAGCGCTGTGTTGTCTGGACTCTCGATGTGGAAAATAAGTAACCTGCTTTGAAATGGGGAATTTATCAAACTGCTGCACACGTCACAAAGCTCTTTGGGTGGAAATTCAACTTGTCTTTATTATGTGTGGCCCAGAATCACAACAGTTGCTTTTGCTGGCTTTTTATAGAGCAGAAAGACAAAGAAAAGACTGAATTTAAATTGCTTTTTTATTGGATCCCACCGTACAACTTAATATACTATAGTTTTACTTTGCATTATTAAGATAGCAGCTTGCCTCTAACGATAACTTTTTTCAGTCATGGCTTTTGAAAACAGACTATGAAACTCAATGGTCAAATAATGCTAAGCAACACAGAGAACTGCCTTTTTGTTTTTGAATGTGACTCAAATCTCATTTGACGTCTCAAGTTTTCTATACAATCTGACTCAGAATTATCAATTTCAATATCTTTGCAAAAAACCTTGGACATTTTTATACCCAGTTCACATACGCCTATATAAAGATCCTTTTAATGAATTGTTTGTATCTGGCAACAAATTCTGTACAACGTTGGTATACTGTAAAACTGACAAATAAAGTATGTTATGATCTCAAAGTAATGTCTTTGCTTCTTACATACAGTGACACAGTGATCCACAAAGCCTGTAGGGTTTAGGTGTTTACTGGTGTTTTTGGGACATCCCATGGGACGAATAAAGGATCTGAATTAATTGCTCAGAAATTATGTAAAAAATCACAAACCCCAGCCCTTCCTTTGCCGTAGTTGTCCAAAACAGTAGACTGTAGTATGGCTGGAGCTTAGATTCCACTATGGTTTAGTGCAAACCTCCAGTTAATGCGGCGAGACATTAAAAAAGATGAAGAAGCAGTGGACAAAGTCACAGCTGCGGAGGAAAAATACTAAAACATTCCTCCCTTCAGACATTCACCATATAGTATGTGAGTCTGGGATTTATGTAAACTCTAGCTGAACTACTCTTGTGTCTAAAGATCTATGTCCTCCCTGCAGTCTATGGTATAGACCAGTGTCTCCCAAAGTGGGGTCCGCGGCCCCCTGGTGGGCCGCGAGGGTACTGCAGGGGGGCCGCGGGAGGTCATAAAAAAAATATATATATATATAATTATTTAATGTTAAATTTATAATGTTTTGTTTGTAATATTAAAATATGTGTGTTCATTATTTGACTTGAATAAGCCACTGTAATCATTTTTGTATTACAATGTTTGTAGCAGAGGCTATTTCCCCAAAATAAAATAACCAGAAGAGCCTATTCTTAATGTTGTCTTCTTGGTTATTATTTTGGGGGGCCACGCAGACCCGTCAGATTTTTAAGGGGGCCTCGGTGTTACTGAGTTTGGGAATGGCTGGTATAGACTATGGGACTACATCAGGGCAATTTTAGAAGTAGGCTACTATTGAAGTGAACTGCTACATTTCATGAATGTGTAACAGAAGCGTGACGTCCTATAATTACAACGGAAATATAGATTCTCCTTTACCCTAAAAGAGTGTTGTGATTTAAGGATAGACACAACATTCCTAACATTCCGGACACTACAAAACTACTAGTAGTTAATATATAGTTATATTATAAGGGTTGTATCTAGCCTATATGATTTTGCAAAAAATGTAAGCCTACGTTATGCTTCAAATAGCCGCAGCAAATACAGTGCAACACTAAAATGGGCAATATATTATCAAAAAGTACAGAACTAGTAAAGTCCATGTAAAATCATGTTTGGGAAAGATGGCGCTCCTTTGCTGACATCTAGTGGCCAAAAAGTTAATTCCTATTAAGCCACATACAACGGAAGTCTTTATTTTATCAGCGCTGTACTCAGACATCTTAATGTAATTTTAATAAGAATAAAAAGTGACCACTGGTTTGCTGAAGTTGTGATTATACTCGTGTATTTTTCCGCAATTTTGTGAAAGACGCCAGAGATAATTTTTCGAGGAGATTTCACTAATAGTTTTCCAGGTGGAAAAATTAACGGCCACACAACTGTTAGGATGGGTCACGTGTCCGCGTCCGAACCAGTGGCGTCACGGGAAGCGAGGAGTTCGGAAAAAATAACAAATAAACCAACAATACAATAATAATATTAACTTATAAATGTTAAAATCAATAATCGCAGCGTTTTAATGTTTGGAAAGTCATGTAACCAAACTCAACAGTATAACATTATATCATCGAACCATAATGTGTAGAACAGTCTAAATTCGTACATTTCCATTGTGATTAACACATTACGTCTTCAGAAGTTTTCCTAATGTCATAGTGAGTCATAATTACAACAATAATATCACATTTCTTGCTAACCGCAACCCACTTTGCATTGGTTATTTGTAACTACACATTGTAAATATATCAACACATGGTGAATCTATGGGAAATACTGTAGCTTGATTGTATATTTGCATGTGTATATATAGACTATAAGCTGTAAATATAACAATATACAAAACTCCATAAACTAAGGAATGTAAATATTCTTTTTTTTTGTAAATACATAACTTATACATATTTTATTTGGGCTATGTGTCTCTATCTATTGAATATCATGATTTGTTTGTGCTACATATTACATGTCTTTGCCTTCCATTGTTGTACCAGGGGTTAGGATTTGAACAAATAAAGTTTTTTTTCAAAGGAAAAAAACTTGTTAAAATCAACAGAAATCTGAAATTCGACGTGACGCATTCCTTATATTTCGTAATTAAGAAAAAGGGGGGGGGGGGAATCTGGTGATAAAGTCGTATCTCTCAGGCGTTTGAGCGGAGTGGCATCTCCCTGGAAAAACGATCTCTGAGGTCGAAACTCTGCTACGTCATTTCCTGCGACTGGGACGTATTTTTTTGTTTTCCCGTATCCGCCATTTCAGTTTTTGAAGTTAGTTGTCATCGGCCGCTGGATTGTAGCCCCAATTCAACGCCGTTAACCGCTTTAAAACAGCGCTAGCTCAGGTCCCCCGGTGCACGAAGCTTCACTAGCCCGCCCCGTAGTCGTCTCTCGGGCGTGTAGCTGACGCAGAGCCGCCGTGGTAGAGGCGATCTGCGGATGTCGCCTCTGTGGTAAAGCGTGCTCCTCCTCGGCGCTAAAGTTTGTGCATGAGTTGAAGGCGTTTAGCTGGTGCTGGATAAAGGGAGGGAGACACGGTTTACGGGCGATCATGGCGGGCAATTTCGACGCGGAGGATCGTGGGAGCTGGTTCTGGGGTAGGCTGACGAGACAAGAGGCGGTGTCGCTGCTCCAGGGTCAGCGCCACGGCGTGTTCCTAGTACGGGAGTCCATCACCAGCCACGGGGACTACGTGCTGTCGGTGTCGGAGAACTCCAAAGTGTCGCATTACATCATAAACAGAATCAGCAACAACAGGCAGTCTGGACCAGGTGAGAATGTGGGGGGGAAAGTGTGGGGTTTTTTTGGGGAGGGGGTGCGCGTTCTTGCATGACTTGCACCAAAAGAGATGCGCAATAGACTTTACAGCAGTCACCCCTGTGTGCAGATCTCACCAGGCCACACACGCACAGCACTGGGGTTACTACAGTCTTCTCATGGATTCAGACACACTATGGTTTCCTCAAGCTCAAATGCATTCGTTGCATCTCATTCATTTGGACTGCATATATTAGTCGCCTTTGGCCTGCATTGGATCTGTAAGAAGTCAGATTTAGCCCTGCAGTTACTTCAATACTTCTTGATGTCTCTAAAAGTGGCTAGAATATTAGTATTTTAGGTGTCGCAATGAACTCTCCTACTAATGGGAAACGATGCCAAAGGAAAAATGATAATAAAGTACTATGAATAGTGTTGTTGTTGACCCAAAATCTTTCAAATCTATTAAAATCTCTATAATATTATTACGACTTGCTACTATGATCATGTATCTGCAAGTGCACAGACAATATATATTAAATATGATTATGTAATCAATTACACATAGTTACAGCTAACTTAGCTTAACTGGATTACAGAACAACATCTCAAACACTCACCAATGAGCTGTCTTCTTTGTGCTTGTGGTCATAAATGTTTCATACTTTCCCCCAAAGTATCGTATAGCTAAACAGTTCACATATTGTTGTTATAGATAAGAAAAATGCTTATATCTAAAGTTAGGGTTGGGGTTAGTCTTGTGCATAATATACATTTATCCTTCCAAGAAAATCCAAATGGAGGAAAATTGACATGTTTCTACTTTCTTGACCTGTTAAACTTTAATGTGTTCAAATAAATCTTTTACACCCTCTGAATCTGCTGAAGAGCCTCTGTGATTCAATATTTGTTTTATGAATGGACTTCCTGCTTCCTCATTTATCAAACAGTGACTTGTGGAGAATGAATGAGTTGATGTGTCATTTGGGAAATACCAGGAGCTTGTGACAGTCAAGTATCCGGCTTCACCTTTGGTTAATTTTGATGTTAGAGCTAAAGAATATGACCTTTTGTCATGTAATTAACTGACCTCTAATTGTTCCAACTGGTCTGAAAAATGGCTGCATCAGCACTAGGTTTTACTTCACCCTAATCTTGTATTTAATTCCCATTCTCATGGTTACATGAGGGCTATAATTTTTGACTGTTTTGATGATCAATTAGTTGGATGATTTTTTCCATCATTTAATCAATAAACTGTGAAATTGGAAATGTTTTTTATAAATAATTTTGGTCAAAACTATCTTGTGTTATGACACTAGAAATCATTGCATCACAGACAAGTTGAAACAAATTATGTGGGGGTTTTTTCTTTCCGTTTTTTACACATTCTGTGTAGTACATCAGAGATTACAGATCTGTCTGAGTCATAAAATCTAAACTGGAGTAAAGTTCAAAATTGACTGACTTATTTAAAAATCTACATATCCTCTAGCAATCTATCAGTAGAATCTCCTATAGCTTCTCCACAGACCTGACTTACCGTGTTTATCCCGAGGAGGCCCCCCCACTGTATGTTTCCATGGAAATTGTGTCATCTTCCACTTTATGATGTAAACATTATAACTTGAATGACTGAAAGGATGGTTTCGCTTTATATTTTCATTGAGTCATGAAGGTGAATCGCTGCTTCTAGAATACTGCATGCTGTTGCTTTACAAGATATTTTCACTTTTATTTTTCAGGTTTGAACGTTCAGCGCTTTCGCATAGGAGATCAGGAGTTTGAAGCTCTGCCTTCATTACTAGAATTCTATAAAATCCACTACCTGGACACCACTACTTTGATAGAGCCCATCAACAAATCCAAGCACACGTCTTTCATCAGCGTGGGTCCTGGGGGTCCGCCTCCGCGCCTGGAGGAAGAATATGTGCGTGCACTTTTCGACTTTCCCGGGAACGACGAGGAGGACCTGCCATTTAGAAAGGGCGACATCTTGCGTGTGCTGGAGAAGCCGGAGGAGCAGTGGTGGAATGCGCAGAACTCTGAGGGCCGCGCCGGGATGATCCCGGTCCCGTACGTGGAGAAGTACCGGCCGGCCTCTCCCACCTCCGGGATGGGGGGAGGAGCAGCAGGTGGGCCCCAGGGTGGTGGGGTGATGGCGAACTCGGACGGCTCGGCCTCCCAGGCCGGACCACCTCTGCTCGGGGACCCCAGTCAGTACGCTCAGCCCACACCACTTCCCAATCTGCTGAACGGACCAGTGTACGCACGAGCCATTCAGAAGAGGGTCCCCAACGCCTACGACAAGACCGCCCTGGCATTAGAGGTAAGCCTTAAGATGTCATCTAGCAATCTCTCTGCTATACAGAAGAGATGTTTGAAATAATAAGAGGATAATTGAATATTTTCGGCAGCCTGCCTACCTATACATGCTGTAAAATGGGTTTGAAATGTTAAAATCCCTGAACAGATTCTGGCCATCTTGAACATGTGGAGCCTTCCTAGTTTTTAGCCTCACAGTTATAACGTCATTGTACAAACCGGGCATCCTACTGGGCACCGACCGGTTAAAATAGAAAGTATTTTTGTGTGTGTAGATGAAACATATACATATTGGTCCTTCACTTACCCATACATCCTTAGATGTCAAAAAAAAGACTAGCTGTATTATATTGTATACATTTCCCCAGGGTCCTCTTGTTTTGTCTTAAGCACAAAACTTCAAGTAACTGATTTTTTTCCAAGAAGATTTACGTCTCTGATGATAAGAGGGTTGAGCGTTATTGGACTGGGCCATTAGCTGCTCCTCCCAGGTCCAGTCTTTTAAACTGTCCGGAAGGGAGAGCGGGCTCCCACCGTGCGGGTCGTTGAGGGAAGGAAATAGTTTGTGTTTTGGAACGGGACCATTTCCTTTGGTCTCTGTGAAGCCGGGAGTCATGCTGTGTGTGTGTGGAGCGGGACAGTAGAGTGATCTTCTGGCTCGAACTGCCTCTGTGTGGCTCATATTGTACTGATGTTACATGGAGCTCTGTCCTGTTTGATCGGCGAGCAGGGCTGACTGCAAAGGCCATTGTCTACGTCTGCCACTGCCACTCCCACCACTGTCACTTCTTAACACAGCAATATAATACAATAGATTATGTATTGTGCTGGTAACGGATAAGGATGCGACATTGATAGTCATTCAAATGGACACACTTTGCCATGAGGTCTAGTTTTGGTTTCTTCTGAATGAGTCACATAACCTGCAGATAAGATGGCTGCGTGAGGTATTATAGCAAAGTGACTTCCCATTTTCATCATCTTGGAAAATCCACTATATTTTCTATGTGGGACGACCTCTGTCTAGACATGTTGCCATGCAGAATTGAATGAGAAAAATTCAACGGATTTGTTGACGGATACAGCAATTTACAGTCCGGCCCATCCAGGATACAAGAGTTTTTAATAATAGTAATACATTTTATATATATATTGCACCTTACATTCCATAGAAACCTCAAAGTGCTAGAGATTCAACTGGTTCTTGGGTCTACAGTAGTGGTTGTTTTTGAGTTGTAAAAAAGTTGTATCTGTATCTAGCTGTAACATAAAATAATTTAGAAATGAATGAAGAATATTGTTAACCGTACAGTCTAAAACATGCTGTGAATAAATAATATGACTCAGACAGTGATGGAATTACTACAAATGAATGAAGAATAAGTAGCCAATGCATTTAAATCAAACTGTTATTTCTGTTTTTCAAGATGTTCCCAAACAGTAATTTTGGGCCACGTTTATTAAAGAAGCCTATGTTCACAGACCTTTTTGTGAGCCAAACTAATGAGTTAATCATATAAATCAGGGGTGGCAGACTTTAGTTCCTACCTGAGCAGGATCACACCAGACTCCGCCCATTTCCTCAGGTGAGTCCTTTAAGCCTGGTTCACACGGCAGGATATTTAGGCCAATTTAGACCCGATTTACCCCTTACGACAATCTTAAGAAACGCTCCGATTTCCGTAACAAAATCTTACAGATTATCCTGCCGTGTGTGGTGTGTTAAGACTGCACTCGTCGCTCGGAAGCACATCGGGACTGCTCCCAATCTCAAATCGGGGATATCCAACATGTTGGATTGTTTTGGCCCGATTTCTCGTCGTGTGTGGTGTCCTCCGAGGACAAGCGAGCGCGTTGCCATGACTACGGCGTGTAGCCAATAAGAAGACGAGGTGACAAGCCGGTGAGGAAACACCGGAAAAAACCAAAACACAGCAGCATGGCTTTGACCATTGCCTTTTCTTTGGATTACGTGTCTTCTCTGTTAACAACAAACTACACACTATCGCCACTGCATCCTCTTCGTCCGCCATGACTGTTTACTCTGAAGTCTGAAGTTACTCTGAAGGGGGGGGGGGGGGGGTGTGTCGGTTCGTGTGTGATGTTTGTGGCTTGCGTGATCTTGCCGTGTGGCTACGCACCACACACTGCACGACCAAAGTGGTTAGACGCAGGATTTTTAATCTCCCCGTGTGGGGTCTAACACGGACAAAAATTGGCCGACAATTTTAAAATAGTCTCGTGTGAACCAGGCTTTAGTTTTTTCCTGAAGATTTGAGGAAATGGGCGGAGTCAAGTCTAAGGGCCACACCGGCCCTTAGAAATAAAAAGTCGCCCAACCAACTGATATTTATCAAAATAATAGTAAATCACAGCTCGGTCGGAACTGGATCAGGTTGGGCATCGTATTGAGTGCAGCAGGATGCATTATGGGTATAGGCTGTTTATGGATTGCCCAAATACAGTGTGAATGTCCCCATGATGTGTCTCAGAGTCGGGAGCGTGTGTAAATGAATAGCCTCTGTCTATTTTATCTCTGCTGTGTGTGTGATCACTGCCCTGTGAGATCAGTATCTGTCCACATAGAGAGACAGAACAAGTTTAGTAATGGCCTGGTCTGATGCGTATCAGGCCTCGTTCAAACTTTATTGGTTACTACACTCTGCTCTAAACCTGGGCTATGGGCATCATTCATTTCATCTTTCATATCATTGTAGTTTTGTTTGGTCGACATAATTAATTGTTCAATCGGTGCATACAAATTATGATAATACAGTTTGAGATTGTACTTGCTTCTTTGCGTTTAGTTTTTATTATACAACAGGCGTTTATTTTGGCAGCATGGTGGTACTTTGGTTCAATTACACTTCCAGACAGGACCTTTTGCTGTTCTCCCCGTTTCTGCATGGGGTTCCTTCTGGTGCTCCGGTTTCCTTTACCACTAAAAACACGTACAATGGGTCTGAATGTGCCAGAAACTTTATGTGTGGGGTGCTTTGTGTGACCTTGGTCTGTGAAAATTACTATATAAACAAACATGATTTATTTACTTACACTCTACGGTAATCTATTAGTTGTTAGGATAGATATGCAATTTTATCTAAATTTGACGCACAAAAATAGTGATTGAATACACTTGATTAGTTGCGTAAAAGCCTGGCATCCTATTCCTTAATACTACTTTATAGCACAGTATGTTTACGGCAGAAAGAAAGACAGAAAAGGAGTAGGCTGAAGCTAATGCTTATTTTGCCTTCCTTTTTCACAAACTTGTGCAATTAGTGTATGCATAAAATTGGATTTACTTAACTGTACAAACATCAACATTCTGAGTTCATGGGCAATCCAAGGTGATCGTTTAAACCTATTCTTAAAGTGGATTATAATGATTTAAGTTCATCCGTGCATCCTTTCCAGCAACAAACAGTATTTCATTACAGTAGTTCTTAATGTTTGCTTTACGAACCCGTCTTTTCCTCAAAACTCATAATGACTTTGGCGTCAGATCGGCACATGGAAAGACCAGATTGTCACTTTTTAGCTCCAGTCTTTAGGCATCGTCCGGTGTCCTCTGACCCGTACGTTACAAACAGCCTGTTACATCACGTCGCCCACTTCCTCCACCGCCGACGTCCCACTGATCCTCCCTGGTATTAATGTGAATAATTCATTGAAGAAAAATGTAAGAAGTGGTTGAATTATATAAAAATTTCTCATTGAATTATCGCGGTCATTGCTTTGCTTTATTAATCGCTGAGGACATTCAAAATCCATATACATACATAAAACATCAGGTGAGGGGACATAACATGCAATAGACTTTTTTACAATGTTAACACTTGTTTTCCCTTTTACTCTTGTTTTATTCAATGCGATTCACACATATTTGAGTGTTTTTAAAATGCCACTACCATAGACCGTATATACAGTGCGAATCAACAACAAGTGGGACACAATCGAGAAGTGGAACGGAATTTATTGGATAATTTAAACTTTTTTAACAAATAAAAAACTGAAATGTGGGGCGTGCAATATTATTCAGCCCCTTGCGCTAATACTTTGTAGCGCCACCTTTTGCTGCAATTACAGCTGCAAGTCGCTTGGGGTATGTCTCTATCAGTTTTGCACATCGAGAGACTGGAATTCTTGCCCATTCTTCCTTGCAAAACCGCTCCAGCTCAGTGAGGTTGGATGGAGAGCGTTTGTGAGCAGTCTTCAGCTCTTTCCACAGATTCTCGATTGGATTCAGGTCTGGACTTTGACTTGGCCATTCTAACACCTGGATAACACCTATTTGTGAACCATTCCATTGTAGATTTGGCTTTATGTTTTGGATCATTGTCCTGTTGGAAGATAAATCTCCGTCCCAGTCTCAGGTCTTTTGCAGACTCCAACAGGTTTTCTTCCAGAATGGTCCTGTATTTGGCTCCATCCATCTTCCCATCAATTTTAGCCATCTTCCTTGTCCCTGCTGAAGAAAAGCAGGCCCAAAGCATGATGCTGCCACCACCATGTTTGACAGTGGGGATGGTGTGTTCAGGGTGATGAGCTATGTTGCTTTTACGCCAAACATATTGTTTTGCATTGTGGCCAAAAAGTTAGATTTTGGTTTCATCTGACCAGAGCACCTTCTTCCACATGTTTGGTGTGTCTCCCAGGTGGCTTGTGGCAAACTTTAAACGAGACGTTTTATGGATATCTTTGAGAAATGGCTTTCTTCTTGCCACTCTTCCATAAAGGCCAGATTTGTGCAGTGCACAACTGATTGTTGTCCTATGGACAGACTCTCCCACCTCAGCTGTAGTTATCTGCAGTTCATCCAGAGTGATCATGGGCCTCTTGGCTGCATCTCTGATCAGTCTTCTCCTTGTTTGAGATGAAAGTTTGGAGGGACGGCCGGGTCTTGGTAGATTCGCAGTGTTCTGATACTCCTTCCATTTCAATATAATTGCTTGCACAGTGCTCCTTGAGATGTTTAAAGCTTGGGAAATCTTTTTGTATCCA